AAATATACATACAACGGCAGAAAATAAAGTGCGGAAAGATAAATGCGACAATTGTCTCGCACAATTACATCCCATAAGCAGTTACAATTATAATAGCTAAATATAAAACCGAAAATAAGTTTCAAATTGAACATAATAGCTGCAAGAAACAAAACAAACAAAAATGTCAGTATGTGGAGTTAGACGATAACGAAATCAAAATTGAACGAGAAACAAACCGTATGAATTTTGGAGGACTTTTATGGTCTTTTTAACCAAGGATTTAAAAGAGAGATTAATTTTAATTAAAAGAGTTTTGAGTTTTAAAAAAATTTATTAATAAAAAAGTGAAAGTTTGGTTAATTATTCTAAAAAAGGAGTTTTAGTGATAATATTTTGAAAAAAAGATTTAATCATTAAAAAAAAACAATTGGTTTAATTTAAAAAATCTTAATGTTAGTTAAAAAACACGTTTTACTTTAAAGTTATAAAAAAAGTTTTATTATTTGAAAAAAAAACATTTGATTATTTTATTTAAAAAGAGTTTTAATTAATTTGAAAAAGGTTTTTGGTTATAAAAAAGAAAGGGCCTTCTTGATTTTTTTTTAAAAAGATAAACAAAATAAAATAACAAATGGAAAAACAATAAATAATAAAAAAAAAGAGGGTTGGGCCGGTCATCACTCTTCTTCTCTCTGCTCTTCTGCGTTTGCGTGTGTTCCTCTCCTTCTTGTTTGCCTCTCACGGATGTTATCTTCTTCTTCTTTTGCATGGCCACCGATTTGTCTTCTTCATCTCTTTTTCCTGAAAAACATGAAAAGCAACACAAAAATTGTAATTATATTTTTTGATCCTTACGGAATGATGATGGCCGATGATGCTTTGTCCTGAGGCTAGAGGATTTTTGACGGGGTTTGCTTGGATTTTACGAAAAAGTTCCCTTTCTTGTTATGATTTTCGTCCCTTTTATACTTGATTTTTAAATCTTTTTTTTAATCTCAGATTTAATTTGAATATCTCAATCTTTTTCAATCTCTGATTTGATTTGAATGAATTTTTATGATGATTTCAGATTTGATTCAATGATGGTGATGTTGATATTTAGATCTGATTTTCTTATGATGATGATTGATCTGATTGATTTGATTTAACTCTATCTGGAATTCATTAAGATTGGATTAGATTAAAAAAGTGTTGAGATTTAAATTTAAAAAGTTAGCAAAGAAGATTAGAGTTTCAAGTTAAATAAAAATTAGAGTTTTAAAAAAAATGAGTTAGAATAAAAAAAATATTTGAATGTTGGTTTTAAAAAATGTTAGAATTATTTTAAAAACTGTTAGAATTTAATTTTAAAAGGAATTTAAAATTTAAAAAAAAAAAGAAAAAGAAAAGGGCGTTAGAATTTAATTTTAAAAAGAATTTAGAATTTTAATTTGAAAAATAAAGGTGTCAAAAAAAAGATTTAGATTTAATTTTAAAAAAAGTTTAAAAAAAAAAATTTAATTTTAAAAGGAAGTTAGAGAAAAAAAGATTTAACTTTTAAAAAAGCTAGAAAAAAGATTTGATTTTTTTTAAAAAACTTAGAAAAAAAGATTTAACTTTAAAAAAGTTAGAAATAGATTTAACTTTAAAAAAGTTAGAAAAAAAGATTTAACTTTAAAAAGGAGTTAGAGAAAAAAAGATTTAACTTTAAAAAAGTTAGAAAAAAAAGATTTAGCTTTAAAAAAGTTAGAAAAAAAGATTTAGCTTTAAAAGGTTAGAAAAAAGATTTAATTTTAAAAAGTTAGAAAAAAAGATTTAATTTTAAAAAAAAGTATTAGATTTTTATTTAAAAAAAAGTATTAGAATTTGATTAAAAAAAAGTGTTAGAAATTAATTTAAAAAGGTTATAAAAAATTTACTCTTTAAAGAAAAGAAAAAAAAGTTAAATTTTAATCTAAATCCTAAAAGTTAGTAAGAAGAGCTTAAAATGATTTAAATAAATAAACTAAATAAAAAAAAAGTTAATAAACAAACATTAGTAAAGTTATAAAAAAGGTTAATTAAATTATTATTAGTTAAAAAAATAAGATCTAAAAAAAGGTTGATTTATTAAGTTAATAAGAATTTAAAATAAAAATAAAAAAGAAAGGATAAAATTTGGGGTATTACAAGTATCCAGACTCTGGTAAAGTCAGTTGGGTATCCAAACCCTGATGAATCTTGTTTGTACCTGCTCCGTCGAGTATCCAGACTCCGGTAAAGGCAGTTTTGGTATCCAGGCCATATTAGTTTATCTGATGCTCCGTGATATCCAGATCACAGTAATTGTTGTTATCTCCTATCGCCGTGAGGTATCCAGACCTTGGCGTCTATTGTTTTTCTCAGCTCGCGTGGTATCCAGACCACAACTTGTTTTATTTCCCAGCAACGTCGTTTGACTTGAACTTGTAGGATATCCAGATCCTGATGAATATATTCCTTTTGCATTGAGCATCCAGGCTCAGATTGTTGAGTATTCAGACTCAGATTTATTAAATGAGTATCTAGACTCAGGTTTCTTGCATCGAGCATCAAGGCTCCAGTTATTGAGTATCCAGACTCAGGTTATTTGCATTGAGCATCCAGGCTCAGGTTATTGAGTATCCAGACTCAGATTTATTAACCGAGTATCCAGACTCAGTTTCTTTTGCATAGAGCATCCAGGCTCAGATTGCACCGAGCATCCAGGCTCCGATTATTGAGTATCCAGACTCAGATTATTACCGAGTATCCAGACTCTGGTATTTTGCATAGAGCATCCAGGCTCAGAAGTGCATTAAGCATTCAGGCTCCGATTACTGAGTATCCAGACTCAGGTATATCTGCTTTGAGCATCCAGGCTCCGATCACCTTGAGCATCCAGGCTCCGATTTCCCTCGAGAATCCAGACTCTGACAACGTGAATGTTACCTTTCGGCCAATATGGTATCCAGACCATGGCGCAACTTTTGATGAATTTGTTCATCTTATTATGTGTTACCCAACGGAGTTACTTTGTTAAGTTTCTCTCGTTTTCTCCCTGCCAGAGTTGTTTGGTTAAACCTCTCTTTCCCAGCGGAGCACTTTTGTGATCAGTTCAGCTTACTTCCGGAGATCTTTGTTCTATTATACCAGAGTTTGCAGTTCTTTTTGCGGTTGGCAAATTTCCGGGTTCTTTGGTATTCAACTGACTTTTACCTTCGAATGTTTGAAAGTCGTTTGCTTTTCAACCCTTCAGGCCCAAGTCGTTTGAATAGGGGCAGCTGTTGCACCCCAAAATTTGACCAACCGTTTCTCGTTTTTGGCTTATGTTTCGTTTCATTTTGCATTTGCATCTGCATACCGCATACTGTGCATTGTTGCAGCCAGATCGATTTAATCAGGATTACAGCCCTTTCTGTCGTGTTCCAGACATTTCAAACTGTTATGGAATTTGCGCTCGGCCCGGTGATTCAGTCTACGCTGTTAGTTTTAGTGTTATTTCGGTATTAGGTTTTTCTTACTGTTTATTTTGTCGTATTTTATCGCTCACTGATTTTATTTTATTTTTCTAGATTTATTTCCTATTTTCGGCACTTTTTTTTGAATTTTTAAATAGGTTTATTTTTATTTTTTTAGAGGTTTTAGAATTTATTAGAATATTAATAGATTTAATATAGATTTTATTTTCTTTTTTTAAAATTTTAATTGTTTTATTATTCTTTTTTAATTGATTTAACTTTAAATTAATATTAATTAGTTTGGGTTATAATTTTTATTTTAGATTTTATTTCTTAAATAGATTTTTCTGAATATTATTAATATTTTCTTTTATTTTTATTATTAATCTAGATTTTAATTAGTTTTAATTGAATTAGTTAGTTTAATTTAATTTAATTGGTATTAATTAATGTTAATTTTCGTTTTAATTAATCAGCTTTGTTAATTAGCTTTTAGCATTCTTTTAATCATTGTCAACTTTAATTAATGATATTTAGTATTTAATTTTCAATTCATTTAATTAATTAATTATCGTTATCAGCTTTAATTGTCCATTAATCAAGCCTGCAGGCCACTTGTCATCGTTTCTTCCGCAGGCCCATTATGCGAGCTGACACTTGTCAGCGGTATAAAAGGCCTCATTAATGAGGTGACACGAATTCCAAGGGCTCACCGCCGGCCATGCAAACGCCGGAGCACACTCGCCGGAGAAATCATTTGAATCTTCCCCTTTTCTCTCGCGTCCTGGCGATTGAGTTCTGTTCTCTTGCCCCCGTGCAATCGAGACTGTTTTCCGTAATTGGCTGAACTACAGCTGCTCTGATCTCTCATACCTGTTGAGAGTACGTAGGCATAGGATGCGATATCCTAGCAAGCACATTAACAACTAACTTCTTTGTACTCTCGCGGCCGTGTGACCGAGACTTTCCCGCTAACAACTAATGTTTCCCTTTCTCTTGCCCTAGCGCAATCGAGACCAGACTGTAGTTCTAGTTCCCGTAGGTTCCCGTACGTCTAAACCCGACATACTACGTCCGTTCTACCGCAAATAGGTAACGCCTAAGTCTCCAATGGTCGAGCAGCATACACCAAACTGCTAGAATGCGCACGCTAGTATCGTCAACCTTTCTCTCACCCCCGTGTGATCGAGAATACCCTTTTGTCCCGTAGTTAGCCTGAACTACGTTTTGCTCTGATTTCTCATGTCAGATGAGAATACGTAGGCACAAGACGCGATGTCTTGGCGAGCAATTTCCCCCGTAGTTTCCCGAACTACGTTGACTCTGACTTTCCCATTGCACGAGGGAATACGTAGGCACAGAGCGGCGATGCTCTGCCGAGTCAATTCTTTCTGTTTCTTTTCAGTTCTTTCTATTTAGCTTTAGCAGCCGTAGATAGATTGTTTTTCACCCATAGACTAGACAACCCAAGCGTGGATCCCGTCAAGTACGACGGACGTGAGGGGTGCTCATACCTTCCCCTTGCGTAACCGACTCCCGAACCCAGACATGGTTGCGATGACCTTGTCTTTCCCTTTTTCTTTAGGTTTTTGCGATCGTTTCCTTTCCCTCTCTTTGGGATAAATAACGAAAGTGGCGACTCTTCTGTTTTTTCCGCCGGTTGTTTTTCGCAGTAGCGACAACTAACATCAGCAAATAAGCTCTAGTGGCATAATCCCATCGAGATGCAGCTATGTGCTCTACGAACCGATCATATAACCACTCCAACTTATAGTAGGAACCCCTGCACTCACGGACTTGTTGTTGTGTTATTCTCTGTGACACTCCTAAATAATCAACAGCCCACTCAACAACAAGCGCTTCACTGATATCTTGAGGGCTCCAGAAGACTCCCCTGATGAGCAAGTGAAGCAGGCAAGATACGTCATCTAGAGTAATCGTCATCTCACCAAACGGCATGTGAAATGAAGATGTCTCTAGATGCCACCTCTCTGCAAAAGCGGAAACTAGGTTTGTGTCTATCTTTGTTAAACTGGTTCTCTGGAGTGAAGCTAGACTAGACCTAGATATCCAGCTATCCATCTCTCTGGGTAGCTGTAGTGGAACCCTCTGAGTCAACTTCAACCCATGCCCCGCCACCTTTAACTCTTTCTTCGACCCTCTCTCATGAAAAAAATTAAAAGTAAAAATATTATAAAATTCAATATTAAAAATTCAAATTCTATTCAATATTAAATAATTTTCGTTTACTTACCTCATCGAACCATATACGGTATGCGACATGCTGTTCGTACTTAACTAACAGAGATGTATCATACGGTCGTCCTGGATATCCAACCGGCTCGGATGCTGATGCAGATGCATCAAAATGCTCTTCTTCAGCCATTCTCAATGACTCGTCTCATCCTAGTCTACGAGGGATCCTACCATCTCTGCCTCGTGTGTGCACCAATAGAAAAAAAATAAAATAAAATTAAAAATAAATAAATAAATAAAATTAGAAATTAAAAACTAAAAAAAAACAATGAACTAGAAGTCTTCAAGAAAGAGTTCCGGAGAAGAAACGCAAAATTTTGTGAATCGGAAGTCTTCAGGAAAGAGTTCCGGTGAATAAACTCAAAATTTTGTGAACCAGAAGTATTCAGGAAAGAGTTCCGGTAAAGAAACAAAAACAAAATACAAATCGGAAGACTTACTCTTAGAGTTTCGGTATGTATTGAAAAACAAATGTGTTCCGGAAGAGTTGGTAGAAGAGTTCCGATTTGTAAATGGATGAAGAGCTCTCCGGAAGTCTTGAAATGGAAATAAGTGGAAATAAAGTGAAACTGAAAAATGTTAAAATTATAGATATTTAAATAAGGGTATTTTGGTCCAATATTTTTTAGTGTAGAGGTGTGGGTATAAGGGTAGGGGTATGGGGTAAAATCTTCAAGACATGATGGTTCATGGACTCAAATTTCCAGCCAATTCGCAAGTACTTGTACCCAATATAATACCAAAGGATCTATTGGGCCTACATCATAAATCAGCAATAAGAACAGACCTCAGGGAACATATCGTCAAATCGTACCTAACCAAGGTGTCCAAGTTTGATCCTAGAAAATATATACACCAGCTACCAAAACATTTTGAATTATCCTTTTTAATTGGTTCAATTGGCCCATGTTGTTTTGTTATTTTAACCACCCTCTTACTCATTTACCACCAAATGTCCATTCGCACCCCCTCCTCTTTTGCGTTTTTTTAGTTTTCAACAAAAAGTTTTAATTATTTTTTAGTTAGTTCTTTAAGATTTTCAATAAGAAGTTTTAATTATTTTTTAGTTATTTCTTTAAGGTTTTCAATAAAAGGTTTTAATTTTTTTAGTTAGTGATTTTCGTTAAAAAAAACGTTACTAAACAATTTGATTTTGGTTCATTAAATCACTCCTGATTTTATTTTATACCATTTTCTTCATTTTATTTCGATCTAGTCTTGGATTTTTATTTTAGTTTCATTTTGGGTCGATGACGAGACCTCCGAAAATCATTACTAGTCAAACTATTGATAAATAATGATGGATCTGAGACCACTCACTTTTTCTCTCCTCATTTCTTCTTCATTTTTTATTTTATTTAATTTTTTGATCTATGAAGTCTTTCGATTCACGAACGTTGGTTTTCGAGGTTTATAACTTTCATTATTTCAGTCAATATTATAAGTCGAGCTACGACGGTTTAGCGTTACATTTTGCCCCGATTCAATTCATAACAAACTAACGACTAACTTTTACTTTCTGTCAAATATACACTACTTTATTTTTCAACCAATATTATCCTGATTATATTATCCTGTTTATACTGTCATATATCTTGTATATATTCGTATTCATTTCTTCTCTTATTCAAATTCTTTCAAAACACTTAATAAATATCGAAACCATAAAATCCTAAATTGGTGGACTGTTGTTTGTTTGTCCGAGTGACAGATCTTTGGACTTTGTCATAAACCCTAGCTTGGAGTTGTGTTCAACTTTCGCTCAAGGCTTAGTTTAAGACACATTGCACACACACGGCTTTCTCTTGGGCTACTTGACAATGAGACATTTTATTTCGTGCAATCCCGTGTAACTTGCATGTATCCCTCTTCCATTCCGATGTACGCTTTCATATTTCTTTGATTATGGTTTATTTTCTAGGAGCACCCCTAGGGACTAGCGTAGATTAAACTGTTTTCAAACGAATTCTTGATTCGTCATCGAGCCATCTTCAAACACCCCTTTGTAAGTCGAGTGTTCGTCCGCCTTCGCCACCAACCTATTGCACACATTGTCACACTTCCTTGTGGCTTCGATATTAGGAGCACCCCCAGGGACTAGTAGCGTTTCTCACAATTTAACCCTTGATTCGTCATCAAGCCGGTTTCGTTTCAATCAGAACCCTCGACTTATTGTCGAGCCATTTTTCAAACCCACTTCCATTCCCCCAGTTTTTCACGCGTATTATTTATCGAACCCTTGATCCAACGTCAAGTGTATTTTCTCAACAAACCGTTAAACCAATTCACCACCATTTCTTTTCAAATGTTTCTCTATTTCTTTTGTCTCTGTAAACCTAAAAACCTTGGTTTCGTACCAAGTGCATTTTCAAACTCTTTTCCTAATAAACTTGGATGGTTGTGGAGTGGTTAGGCGTAGGCCTTCTCCTATCCCGAGTGCTTGACATTACCTTTAGGGTTCACTGTTGTAAAACACTTACCATTCAAGATCAAAACATCTTTAATAAAGAGAATGAAGTTCTCTTTGTATTGAACTAAAGAGAGAGGATCGAGTGCAGACTTCTTCCTCTCCGAGTGTTAGGATACTCATTTTAGGATGTATGGCATCGATACTCGTCTTTCAATACGAAGACGTGAGTGTATTCGCCACACCATTTTCACAATAAATCTTTTTGAGATAAAGAATTGGGTACTACCCGCAAGGGGTTACCATCCGAGGACCTATTTCACCCCTAAAAACAACTTTCACAAATCAAACGTGACATATTGCCTCGATGGCGAAAACTATCTCTTTTCAAAAAGGATATGTTACGTCCGTTCTACCTTAAACAGATAACGCCTAAGACTCCACAAGCGAGCTGCAATACATCTAACTGCTAGAATGCGCACGTTAGCATCATCCATCAAAAACACTAGTTAATCGTAGGCCAAACTACGGCTGCTCTGATTTCTCATGCCTGTTGAGAATACACAGGCATAGGATTGCGATGATCCTAGCGAGCACTTTTCTTTCTTTTCCACCTTTAGTCCCCCGTTCTCCTCAGAGAAGGACATGATACGTCCGTTCTACTACAAACAGGTAACGCCTAAGGCTCCACAAGCGAGCTGCAATACACCTAACTGCTAGAATACACCTAACTACTTTTTTTCTTATTCTTTACTTCTTTTAATAAAGATACGTAGGCATAAGGGCCCCAATCCTTTCCGAACACCCTTCCATCTCTTATCCGTAGTTTCTCGAACTATGTTGACTCTAACTTTCTCATGCCTGTTGAGAATAAGAAGGCATAGGACCGCGAGATCCTACCGAGTCTCTTTTCCCTATTTCCAACTTTTCTCTCTCCCCTTGGAACACTCTTTATAGTAATATCTTTTAGAAAATACCTTTACATGTAGACAAACAAATGGTTCCCATCGAGTACGATGGATGCGAGGGGTGTTAATACCTTCCCTTTGCATAACCGGCTTCCGAACCCTTTCTCTTGATTGCGAGACCATCTTATCCGTTCCTTTCTTAGGGTTTCTCGATGTTTCCCCTTCCCCTTATGGGATAAATAAAGTTCGATGGCGACTCTTTTGTTCTTCCATTTCCGCCTCTCCTTCGTTGCATTTTCGAGTAGCGACATGGGGATTCTATAAAAATCCTTTGTCGGCAGTCGAGACCCAAGGCCTAGGGGATGGTTCCGACTGAAGGTGAGAAAATACTTAGAAGGGGGGGGGGGGGGGGTTGAATAAATATATAGAAAAACTTATGGCAATAAAAACTCAAAGATTTTTATCCTGGTTCGTTGAACTCAACTACTCCAGTCCACCCTATCAAGAGTGATTTGCCTTTCTCAACAAGGACTTAATCCACTATTAATCAACTGATTACAATAGCAAGCACTAAGATCAACTGTTCTTAGTCTTCTCAAGAACTACTGACCACAACTGGGTCTTCTCAAGGACTTTACAATCAAATGTAAAACTAAAATAAGTGTTTAAATGCTTCTAAATTGTTACACCCTAAAATTTGCCCAACCTATTTCACCTGGTTTATGTTTTAATTGCATTGTCATTTGCATAGTAAATCATGTACATAGTCCAATCATTTGCGTAGCATAGCATAGCAAGTCATCTAAAAGGGATCAAGTGCCATTCTTATCAAAAGAGCACATCAAGGGGTTTTTATTCAAGCTTAAGACCATCCAAGTCATCAAGAAATAAGTTGAAGTTTTGAGAGGTTTGAGGGTCAACCAGTGGATTTCTCTCCTATCTTGAGGTGTATTGAAGATCATCAACATGAAATTATGAATTTGAGGTGTGTATGGATCCCATGGGAGGCATAGAGAGCCATATTAAAGCTTAGACAAGTCATGGTATCAAGGTCAAGAATCACAGTTGAGGTGTGTACAAGTAGGGTTTCATCTGAGTAACCCTAGGTCAAGGAGAACAAGAAAGGGCATCAAGACCTAGCTCTAAGTCATGGAAGTCATGGATTGAGATGTTAAAGCATGTGTATGGATGAGTCAATATCAAGTACAAGAGAATCAAGAGTGGTTGGAGGGGTTTGAGACAGGGTTCTTAGGGTAAAATCCCCTGTATAGCACTGGACTTCCAAGCCACATAAGTCAAAATACAAGTTTCAAATGGATTCTTGGCCAACATTAAACTTGTAGAGCTTCTCAATATCTTTAATTGGAGTACTAGAAGTCTTCAAGGAGATTTGTAGAGATCAAGTTATGGTTCTTGCAAGTTATGGGTCATCAAAGGGCACTGAAATTTATCTGTGAAAGTCACTTGACTTCCAAGCAGCTTTTTCCCATCAAGGAGTTTTCAAATGGATTCTTGGACAACATAAGAATTGTAGGGATTGATCTTAACTTTAATTAGAGTACTATAAGTCCTCAAGAAGATTTGTGGAACTCAAGTTATGATCTTGGCAAGTCAGGGGTATTTTGGGAAAGTGAGATTATAGGTCATTTAAATCATGGGTCCATAACTCCAATTTGCAAGCTTCAAATGGAAAATTGTTCAACATCAAACTTGTTCAAAATGATGTTTTGAGTGCAACCAAGTGGTCATGAGAGCTTGGAATGGCTTGTATCTCAAAATTTCAAAATTGGCCTAAAAAAGGAAGAATTAAAGTCA